TCAGACCTGTTGAGGCAGGTCAGCCTGCCTACCCATGTGAGGTCACGTCAGGTGTCACCTCCATTACCTCCTCAAGGAAGGACACATGGCCCCTGAGCCCCGGAGAGCAAGCAGGCCATTACTCCAGAGGATTCTGGCCAAGGGGCGCCTCCACAGCCTGGCCCGCATGACTTGTGTAGGAGTAGGAATCCTGCCTTACATGTATTTTAGCCTCGGGTTCCTACTTGCTTAGACTCTAGGGGTCTTAACAGAATCCTATTCCGACCGGGGAGGGTCACCTTCTCGGCAAAGGAAGGAAATCCGGGGCTGCTCATTTCTACTTCCCTGTCCCAGGAGCCTCTGAAGTTCCAATACCACCTCCCAGGGAGGGTCTTTGCTCACACCCCCAGAAGCTCAGTGTGGCTAGTACAGCCTGCAAAGGCCAGGAGTACCCGAGGAGGGGAAAAATGCAACCACCGTTCCAGTTCTGACGGTGAAACCCCCAGCCTATACTGTGTGTATTGCATGCCTGCCCGCCTGTGTGGAAGGGATTGGGGACAGGTCCAGCCTGTAGTCACCAGCTAAAGAGATCCAAGCAGACTGGCCTCACTTGACACAGGTCTCTGATAGGTTTCAGTGGGCTATGCTGTCAATCAGAAATTCTGCTTGTCCTGGGAGCCTGAGCTGCGACCACATTTGCATCTACTCAATATACATCAATCTCCTGCCAGGCCTGAGGCTGCCCCACCCAGGCTGTGTGCACCCCAAAGCACACTGCACACACCCCCAAGCTGAGCAGTCTTCTTCAGCCCTCACCAGGGCTGAACGCAATAGCCATTGTGGTTGTGTGCAGCTGGTCCACACAGACATCCACACACTCTCAGTCGAGGGCTCTCTTCCTTTCTACCTCTTCCCAATGGAACGGCACCCACCACTGGTAACAAACAGGGGATTTGGGTGCCAACGGGTAAAACATCCAGGGGCTCACTGCAGAGAGCAGACACCCCAGCAGAGCCGGGAAGACGGGCTGACATCTGAGCTGCCTTAGGGCCCTGTCTCTGCCTCTTGGACCCTGCTGGTCCACTGGGCTGTGAAGAGGGAGTGGTATCAGGCTGACACAGGAGTCACAGGTCAGGGAACTCTAAACACAGAGCCACTATCTGAATAAAAAAAAAGACCTGAGGGCAACACAGTTCCACACTGTTCCTCAAGCCTCGGTCCCACTCACAGCCCAGGCTTCCTCATTTTAAACGCCAGCCCTGCCTCACCCACAGTGTGGCCCATCATAAAGCCAAGCTGTCTTCAGGGGAATCCCCTCCCCTTTCATCAGGTTAGCCCCTGCTAAGAGTTTTCAGTAGCTCCCTACCACCTAAGGATGAACTTTGACCAGCATTCCAAATCCTTCTGAGGACTGGAGGTGATTTTCTTGGCTCATCTTCCTCTTGTCTCTCCCAGAAACCCACACACAAGCCAGTGTGCACTGCACTCTCTCTAGACTGTGCCCTTTTACACCTACACACATTTTGTAAACCTTTCTGTATCTCCTACATACACACACAGACACTCACACACACTTACATACAGACACACACATAAACACACACTCACACACACAGGTATGCACTGATGCTTGCATGCACACACACACTTCTCACATGCATACACACAGGCATGCACTGATGTGTGCACGCACACACTCACACATACATACTCACACATATACGCACACATTCGTGCACACACACGTCTTCTACTGGGAAACCGCCTGTTGCCAGCTAGAGGCCCAGCTAACCTCAGAGTTGAGGCTGGGGCCAGGCCATCCATCTCCTCCTTGCTACTTGCTTCCTGCAGTGCAGGGCTGGGCACCCCGGCACAGACACTGTCACCCACTTATCGCACTCCAGCCTCGGGGGGTTGATGTGTTGTCTCTCTCCGGAAGGGTGTGACCCCAGCCCCCTGTGGAAGGCATCAGCCTCTGGCTGGGTGGCTCTGAGGCCCTAAGTCAGGCTGGGGCCTGCTCAGCTGGGTGGGAACCGCACACATTCCTTCGGAATTAAACAAGGTCCCGCTGGCTCCAGGCTTCTCAGGATGAAGAGGATCCGGTTTGCTCTTATGGCAACTTCTCTGTTTCCCCAGGCCGTGAGCCCCTGTGGTTCCAAAAGAGGGTTCTTCAGTCTCCCAGGGCAGTGACCTGAGCAGCCGCAGGGAAGGGTGAAAGGTCACATCTGTGGCCGTTTGGAAGCCTGGTTCAAGGCCAGAGCCTCTGCCCTCTGCCACCTCCTGCCTCGAGTTCCTCCTGTCGTGTATCTACCACACTTACACACACGTGCGCACACGCATGCCTGCGTGAATCCACAGCCACATGCACGCCACGCAGAAATGCATCGTGTCCATACAAGATATTCACGTAAACACACAAAGTCGTTCCCACACAGAACTGTAAGAGCATGTGTGTGCATAGAAACAAATGCACACTAACCTACACGCACAAAGGCAAACACAAAACCCTGTAATAGTGGCTGAGGGAATGTGGTCGTGGCAAGGGCCACACAAGCCACAGTTTCACGGCCGACCTGTGCCTCTCCTGAAATCACATAAACCCCTTTCACTAAGCTCAGCCCATGAAACTAAGATAAACATGTGACCCTGCTTAGATTCAGTCCCTGTGACTAACCGCAGTAACGTGGCCTACTCCAAACCAGTCCAGAGTGTTAGGCGGTCATGTGAGCCTCTGCGGCCCCAAAACTTGGGGCTTTGTATGAAAAGACAGCTCTCGTTCAGGCCACTTTACTCCCTTCGCCAGAGATGAGCAAACACACCCAGAGAACGTCTTTCTGCCATCTGCAGGAAATCGGTCACAAGAAATATAATTTGCCCACTGTTGGGTCCAACACAAGCATAAAAACATAAAGATTTTCAAAGGACAATAAAAGTGTCCAAGATGGAAAGGCGGGGGAGACGGCCCAGTCGGTAAAGTGTTTGCCGTGTGGGGCTGAGGACCTCACTTGGCACACCTGTAGCCTCAGGCTCCCCAGGAGAGGCAGGAGAATCCCTGGGGTTTGCTCATCAGCCAGTCCAGTCAGATAAGGATACCCCTGGTTTGTTAAGAGACCTTGTCTCAAAAAATAAGGTGGAAACTGATCGAGAAAGACACCCAATATTGACCTCTGATCTCCATGCACAGGCACAGGCACATGCACACAGACACAGACACACACACACACACACACACACACACACACACACACACACACAAATGCCATGATGTAAACAATACCTCTTAACTGTTGCAATCCCACGGCCACCCTGTATGTGAACCCCATGTCATGGGCGGAACTGGGCACCCTCAAACTCCTGTTGTGAGGCCCTAGCCCCCAGCACCTATGAATACAACCATATTTGGAGATGAGACCACAGCCGGGCGCTTTAAGATGGGACAGCTAGAGTGGGTCCCAACCCAGTCTGGCTGGTGTCCATATAAGGAAAAAAGACTAGAGCACACAGAAACCAGGGGCTCAGCGTAAAGGGGGCTACCGTGGGAAGAGATGGGCCAAGCAGGGGGCTAGAGAGGCCTCTGGCCCTGGCGGCTTGATTTTGGACTTCCAGCTTCTGTAGTCCAAGCAACTTGCACTGGTGGCACCAGTGATTCGAAGGCGGGGTGACCGGGTCCGGAAAGCCACCATGTGGCACTGGGAGCTCTCAATGCTGGGGCTAAGCTGCGGTGGGCCTCTCTGCCTTTCTCCTTCATAGGAATGAAGTTCTAAGCCCCTCAGCACAACCTGCTCCTGGTTCAAAGGTCACCTTGCAGCACATTGGAGGTCACTGGGCAAGTCAGGAGGGGTCAGCAAGGAGAGCAGGTAGGCCTCTTAAGCCTGGGCCAGCACACGGGCTGGCACTGAGCCCAGTGTCTCTCTTTGTGCTAAGGAAGGGCTTGGCAAAGCCTTCTTGTCAGGAACCCACGTTCGCTGAGGGCAGGCTCAAATTAGTCTGCCCGGCTGCACTCAGCTGGTTGCAATTGCAGCCCCTCGTGCTAGGATTTCACTTTCGACACTGATTTATGGGAAACACAAGGGTTGCCTAAAAATCACTTGAATTCCTGTTCAGTGAAGCGATGGTTCAGCGAGGCGAAGAGGGAACGAGCCCAGCCCTGCCTCCCCACAGGGGTGGGGAGATGAAGGTGGGAGTGTCCCCACAGAGGGGAATACACCCAGTGATCAGAGCCGCTCGGGTGGGCCACCCCACCCCCTGCCCCTCAGGGGCCGCAAGCGCTCTTTGGAAAAATGACATATTCGTGTAATCAGATTCTCAGTGGCACCGAAAGTAAATGAGCCAGAGGTACACATGTCAACAGGCATGACTCTCACCCACATGTGGCGAGAAAAGGCTAATTGCCGAGCATATACTACAATGTCACAATTTATACGAGATTTCAAAGTGTGTGGAACAACCCTGGAAATGCCTTTTAAAGATTTACACATGAGGGGGGAACAAAAGAGGGGTAGATGGGAGCAACACTCACAAAATACATTGCGTGTGTTATGAAAATGTCGTAATGAAGCCCAGAATAACACAGGTTATTCTGTTGTTGCTGTTGTTTTTATATTTAATCTTGTCTTGGTCTGCACTTAGAGATGAAGCAAGCTTCCTAGCCTCAGAGACGGGCATGGCAGCACACAACTGTGATCCCAGCAGGAGACTTGCTGTAGGTTTAAGGCCAGCCTGGGCTACATAGCAACCCCATGCTATGAAAAGGGGAGGGGGAGAGGAAGAGGAAGGAGATTATTTTTGCATTTTCGCAGCTCAGATCCCCAGATTCGAAGTCCATGAGCAACATTCCAAGTGGCTTTAGGAGCAACATCGTAAAAAGAATAATCCTCCAGTTGAGCCTCAGAGATTCTCTTACTCCTATTGCACCAAGAGATGAGGGCAGGGGTGGGGCTGCAAGCCTCAGAGCAGACTCCCATAGAAGTGGCGGGAGGCCTTCCTTGTGCTCAAATCTAGATAGTAAATACTCTTGGGGCCTCCTGCCTGAGGCCTCGGAGCTCTGCCCTGTCCTCTCAGACGGCCTACCCCTCCCAGGCCCTGGGGCCCTCCCTGTACAGCACTCCAGGAAACCATGCCTCTGCATGGCTGTGTTGGCCTACTGGGCAAACCTGGACCGTAGCTGCAGCTGTACACCCCAGTTGCCCCAAGCAGCCCAGAATGTGGCCACCCCCTGGTTCTTCTCAGTTCCTCCAGACACTGAGTCTGGCCCTGGATCCACCGCTCTCCTGCCTCTTGGCAGAATTAGCAGCCTGCTTTAACACAGGTGAGTCTTGCCCTCCAGCACCCAGCTTGTCTGGTTGTTCTCTGCGTACGTGGCTAACTTCTGGAAGCCAGAACTGTGGCTTATTTCTTCATTCAACCGGCATGGTGGTAAGTACCTCTGACATTCCAAACGCCCTACAAGGCGCTGGGGATTCGGTGGTGAGCAACAGTGTTCGGTCTTACTCAGAAAGACATGCCGAGTTGAATTGTGGAGCTAGAGCGATGATGGGAGGCAGAAGAGTAGAGTCATCAGCAGAGAAGGCCAAAGACCTTCCAACCAGAGCCATCTACACACAAGGGGAACGAGACTTAGGGGGACATCACTTGTGAAGGTCACATGTTAATAAGATACAGAGCCAGACACTACAGGGACCTGGGGCAGAGTTGAATATCCCTCCTGAGCATGGTAGTCACTGTCAGGCTGGCCTTGGAGAGCCGAGTCAGGCCTCTGGGCGCTATGTCCCCCTCTATCTGGAGGCCGTGCCCTGGAGGTAAAATCTGCATTCCCCTCTTTCCCAATGAGGGGTGGGGTGTGAGGCCTGGAAAACTGAGGACTGTCCCCTTAACAGGCAGTGACTCCTGGGACACACACCGCCACCCTGGGAAGCATGAGGCCCCCTCTTTTGCACAGACCATAACCCTGGAACCTGACCTTGACTTACCCTTACTCTCCCCGATACGCCATTATCACTTCTCCCCAAAACCGTGGGTCTCAACCCCCTTGGGGGGTGTCACAAATAAAATATCCTGCATATCAGATATTTATATGATGATTCATAACAACAACAAAATTACATTATGAAGTAGCAGTGGAAATAACTTTATGGTTGGAGGGGTCACCACAGCATGAGAAACTATATTAAAGGTCTCCACCCCTTTGGGGGGCTGTCACAAATCAGATCCTACATATCAGATATTACATTACAATTCATAACAGTAACAAAATTACATTATGAAGTAACAGCGGAAATAACTTTATGGTTGGGGAGGGGGCGGTTACCACAGCACAAGAAACTGTATTAAAGGGTCGTAGATCAGGAAGGTTGGGAACCACAGCTCCCAACACCCATAAGAAGCAAGGCTCCCTGACTGCGCTCCCTACTGTCTACCCCTCAGCCCCGGGGACCCCCAACTGCGGTGCCCAGATGGAACTCTCCAGAACCTGCTAAGGGAAATAGCAGGGTCCCGTGTCCCTCTCCAAGTAGAGCAGCTTGGGTGGCATTGGACTCAGGAAATGGGCTGTTTCCAGCTTTCCCCGCACAAAGCGCTCACTTTCAAACATCACTGGCTTTCAAAGCTCCCACTCGAGGCTCCCTAAGTGACTGGCGGGCCGCGTGCGTGCGTGGGTGCACAGTCCAGCGCACATCTCAAATGACAGCTCTGCCCCGTTTCACAATAATAGCACAGGGACAGCCCAGCCCCAACCAGCCTGAGACTGTTTTGCTTGGCCTGCAGCGTGTTTGACATGAATCTTGTTGCCAGCACTGTAACACTAGGAGAGGTCACATCAAAACCCAGACCTGCAGAGAATGGCTTCCATGAGCTCACCCTCCAAGGAAGAAGCCCCAGTACCCAGCATGCTTCATTGTCCGTCCCCCTCCCCCCCCCCTGCTCCAGCTTGCCCACCTACTGAGGGCTATTTATCTCTGCCATCTGCCCTGCCTCTCCTTTCAACACGTACTTTCCGGGCCGTGGGGGGGGGTGGGGCTCCGGGATTTGTGAATTCTCATTTTTAGGGTCTGAGGACGGGTTTCACCCGTGGGAGGTGTGGCTCTGTGGTCTGCAAATTCTGCAGACCCACACTCCCTCTGCCCGGGCGACAGCACTCTGGTGGGGAGGTGAGGCAGCCCACAGGAAGGCAAGTTTGGTTGGAGATGCACACATATAGCTGGGATTAGGTGCGGAGAGCAAGGAGAGGCCCTAGCCAGACTGTGAGAGAACAGTCTTGAGTAAGACATGAACCTGGGGAGGGCTGTGGGCTGGAGTTTGAGCCTCAGCATGGAGGGTTGACTTTTTCTCTTTTTATTCTAAAGTGAGCTCATTCCTACGGCACAACACTGCCCTTCAGCCTCTCCCTCCCTACCCCAGACTCAAGGTTCCCCTCATCCCTGCCCATAGAAAGCGGTGGGGAGTCACCAAGGCCTAGGCCGGGTGCCAAAGACCGCGAAACAGATGGCCTGAGAGGCTCCCTTCCCACAGAATGTGTAGAAGTTCAGGCAAGTGTCTGTTGATTCAATGTCTGTCCACCGTCAAACCTGTAACACACTCACCTTGGAGAAAAACCCAAGATGGAGGTAATCGAAACTGTTTCCCTGCCAACTGGGATGGAACGGTCTTGATTTGGTGTGAGGAAGGCTAGAAGGAGGCAAACTCTCCTCCCCAAGTGAGTAACAAACTCCCTCAGGCTTTGACAGAGCTACACCACCATGACTATTCCTGCAAGGCCATTTTGAAATGACAAGAAAGAGTCTACAAGACAAGAAAGAGTCTACTAAGGGATTGGCCTCTGTACCCTGTGGGCCCCAAGTACCTGGCGTGTGTACTTGTGGGAGGGGGTCCCTAGATGCAGGAGGGTTCTATATGGAACCACTGCCTCTCCTGCCTAGCCCACTGGCTTGTGTTAGAGCGACAGTCGACAGAGGCCCCAAGGTTCTTGTCCAGCCAAACGTGGGCTCCTCTTTGTGTCTGACTGGCTCGGACCCTCAGCTGACTCCTGACATCTCCCTCCCTCACCAGCTCATTTGCTTCCCCCATAAAATGTGGTTCTGCAACTGGAGATGGCTTCTTTCTCACCACCCCCCCCAGGCCCTCAGAGCTCCCTTGCCCCACAAGAGTAGGTTGCCCACACTGAGAGGAAACAGTAGGAACAGTCGGATTAAGCTATGCAGAAAGGCGCTCTGAGTAGGCAGTCTGCCTCCAGATTTTTATAGTTACGGTCCTGGACGGAACAGGGCTAATGCTCTTTTTGCCCTGAAGCCAAGTACCCTCCCTTTTAACCCTCATTCTTGCCCTCCTCACCCTCCCTTAAGTTATCTCCTCCAGGCCCTTTAACTGCCAACAACCTACTCTCCCAACTTTGATTTACGGTGAGCAGAGGAGGGAGAGCAAAGTTAGAGCTAGCTCCTCCACCCCCAATCCCATTTTAAAACCACCGGACAATCTGGGCAGAACTTTTCCTATTGAAAGATGAACACAAACCTACACACAGCCCCACATGGAGCCGCAGACGGACACACACCCTCACAGCCAGAGATAACAGTGAGGGCCAAGTCCTCCTCAGATCCACTGTCCACCCTAGCATGCCCTTTCTCTCTCACTCTGGGCACTCGGGCACACCCCCCCCCCCCCACCAGCCTGGCCTGCACCGTGAGGCATTTGCATCTTCTTTTGAGGAAAAACACTCGCTCCCAAGAAGGTTCCTGACAGGGCCGTTCTTTTTTTTTTTTTTTTTTTCCAGAGCCGCTGGATAAATTGCTTTTGTGCAAAAATAAACACAAGTGAAACTGCATTAGCTGAGCGAGTGACACATTAGTTACAGATGCAGGGCCTGTCAGAACGCTGAGGGAACAGCTTTTATTGGGGAAAGGCTGAGAGGCTCATAAATAACCAGTTGGCAATCTCACATAAACACCGCCTACCACAAACGGGGCCTGGCTGCCAGGAGGGCTTGGAAGAGCCCTCTCTGCCCGTCCTCAGAGAATAACGGCGAGGCTGGAGGAGGCAAAGGGTCACAAGCCCCCTTCCTCCCAGAGTTCCCTGCTTCTTGGACCCGCACCCTGGGCTCTGTGGGGTGGAGGGAGGGATCCAAGCTCTAAGTCCTAAGTGTCTGCCAGAGAAAGAGGGTCAATGGCCGGCTCCAATGAACAACTGGTCCATTTTCCTCCCTCCACAGAGGCTCGCATTAGCTAGCCCAGAAAGGAGAGAATAGGCTATGCTGCGGCACTGGGGACTGGCCTGCTGAATAGAGCCAAGGGAAGGGTTTGAAAGGAGCTTGGAAATCCTTCTCAATGCAACCCCAGTGGTTCCCATCAGAAGCGCTGGGAAAGTGGTACGAAGCCAGTATCCCCCTCAGCACCGAGGACAAAGGCTACAAAGGGTGGCACCAGCCTCATCCCGTCCCAAGACGCAGGGCGCCCAGGCTTCCTCTCATTGGCTCTTGAGAATGTCCTTGCGTTGGCCCTAAACTTCCTTTCTCTCCTCGGAGACCAACACTTCAGGCCACATCTGTTTGAGGCTACAAAGAAAGGCAAGGCCAACCAGTCCATTCTCGCGGCTTTTCCTTCTGTGCCAAGCCTGGTCGCCCCCCCCCACCTCCCCGCGGTTCACCCCTTTCCCAAGCAAATGCCCTTTGGAAAGGCTCTGATGGCCTTATTTGCACTGAGGCGGATGGTGTCTTGCTGTTGGGCTATGTGGGCTCCATTTGATCCCATCTTCCTCCCAGAGAGACCGAGCATGAATGATCATTGGCAAGTAGATAGCCTCAAACCCCTTGACAAGTTTTAGGATCGGCTAAAGGGGGGAAGGAAAACTGGGGCTTTTCTGCCTCCCACCCTTGTGTTTGGGGTTCCAAAGAGAACTCCTACCGGTCTCAAACTACCTCACAGCAAAGACTGGTGAGCACCGGTGAAAGTACCATCTTCCCTCCACTCCACATTAACTGGTCACCACTTTCCGCCACACGAAGGACCAAAAGTATTTAGACCGAGTATCTTGCTGTTTTGTCCATCGTGTTTCTTCATCTAGTCTCACATTTTCTTCAGCCTGACTTCCCTCTCCTTCCCCATGTACCTCGGGGGTTCAGCCCGTCTGAATTAAATCCCATCTGGGTCCTATAATTTTAGACTTGCCCTCCTGGATGCCTTTCTCCTTCTGCAGGCCCACATCCAACCCATCTAACTAGACACCTTTAAAACTGCCTTCTCCTAGAGTCTTTCTCTGTCTCTCTGGCTCTGTCTCTCTGTCTGTTTCTGTGTCTTCTTGCCTGTCTATCTCTCTTGTCTCTCTGTCTGTTTCTGTCTCTCTATCTGTCTCTGTCTCTGGCTCTGTCTTCCTGTCTATCTCTCTTGTCTCTCTGTCTGTCTCTGTCTCTGTCTCTCTGTCTGTTTCTGTCTCTCTATCTGTCTCTGTCTCTCTGTCTCTGTCTCTCTATCTGTCTCTGTCTCTCTGTGTCTTTGTCTCTGGCTCTGTCTTCCTGTCTATTTCTCTTGTCTCTGTGCATCTGTCTCCGTGTGTCTCCTTGTCTCTCCATCTCTGCTTCTCTCTGCCTATGTTTCTGTCTCCCAGTCTCTCTATCTCTGTCTCAACCCCGGGAGAACCCTTGAGTGTCTGTTAACTTTCCGTCTTGTTCCGGGTTGTTTGTGCAGAACCAGCATTTCCTTGTATCCCCCCACATCCGGCTCTCAGATCTGAGGCATTTATCCCTCTTCCAGGTCCCCTTCCTCCAAAGCTCTCGTGCCTAGGAAATGGTACCTATGCTGAATCAGTGAAGGGAGATGGTGACACAGTCTGGAGTCATGGTCCTGCCATGGTGGGAGGAGGTGATGGGGGGGTATGGCGAGAGTCGGCAGCCATGACGGAAACTGGCCCAGAACTTTCCCCTAGGAAGCCTTTTTAGGCTTTCATTTTGTTGCTGAATAACTCTGCTTTGGAAGAAAAGTTGAGATGCCTGGCAGGTACCAACAGCCCAGCTCTGCGGCTCTATTGGCTAAGGCTTGCCATCCAGACTCTTTCTTCCTGTGAGCAAATGCGGTGCTAAGGGAGATAGAAAGAGCAGTCCTAGGTGGCAACGGGGAAGGTTCTTTGGCCAAGACAGCCCTCAGGAGAGAACACAGTGCAGCCATAATTTATTGCTCTCGATATTTTTCACTTCCAACCTTATTTTTATAGACATTATTTCATAGGCTACAGCTTAAACACAGATGGAAAAGATTCTGGCTTTGTAATAGGAGATGGATTATGGTGGGCCCACCCCGCCGTTCTGTGCCTGTGAGTGAGTAAGTGCACATGACCATGGCCTTAGGTGGGGCTGGGAGATGCCTTCATTGTGTGTGTAGATTTTGATCTCTAACAATTCCACACTTATCTCTTCTTCCTCGTGCTCAGGCCCTCCGGATGCTTCCGGGGAGGAAACGGGATGAACAAGACGGTGGGGAAGAGGAGGGGCCAGGGCAGCCTATGAAATGTGTGGCTGGTTCTACCTGGGTTTGCTCTTTTTCGAGTCTTCAATGTGGCAGGATCCAAAAGGCATAGCTGAACAGATGGAAGGGGGAGCGCATGGTATCGTCTACATGACTATGATGTATGAATTGCCTTGCCCTTTGTGGTGTGTGCGTGGGGTGCAGGGGTGTCAGGATCTGGCTAGAAAACAGTCTCTGAATCCCTCTGATGTTGCCTGAGGTACTCTCCCTCCACGCCGTAGCGCAGAGTCCCACCTCAACGAATATCTTTAACATATCCTCAGGATTGAGGAGCCGGGGCAACAGCACAGTTGGGGAAGCACTTGCCTTGCAAGCACAAGGGCCGGCTTCAGGGCAGAAGCTGTGCTTGGTGGCATGGTGGTAGGGACAGGAGGGTTCCTGGGACATAGCATGCTCTCCAACTGGCCTAGCCTACTTGGCCTATTTAAGGCCAACGAGAAGGCTGTCTAGATAGATAGATAGATAGATAGATAGATACATACATACATACATACATACATACATACATACACACACATACATAGAGAGAGGGGGAAGAGAGAAGGTGGATGATGCCTAATGAATGAAATCTAAGGTTTCTGTAAACCTCCTATGACATAAACACATAAACACACAGGCATGCTCACACACAACAACATGTGGTTTTTAGAGTCTGGTGTGGGGCTTTGTTGACCCATACTTATTTAGGGAAAAGAGGAAAAGGAACACAAGGAGGGGGAAATATTGGAAGGAGAAGAAGTAAGAGGGACATAGGAAGGTGAAAGGAACATTACTCAGACCAGAGCCAGGAGATAGACCCCAAAAGAGATGACCTAGCCCAGAGCCAGAGATAGACCCCAAAAGAGATGACCTAGCCCAGCAGGAGTGTCTTGGCCCAGACCGTGGCCCACACACATCCACAAACTCTGGGAGTGCAGGCTGAGGCTAGCGTCGCTGCTGGCAAGCAGCAGGCCTAATAGAGCCCGGGCAGGCAGCTTAAAGACATGTCTTAGCGGCGGCCCTCCCTCCCCTCCCCAGGGAGACTTTTCATCAGACTTTATGAAGCTATGGGAGTGTGTATCTGGAAACACGAGGGGCTCAGGCTCATGGGGAGTCAGAAGCAAGAACAGCTCCCACTCAGCTTCTAGGGTCTGTGGGAAGTGACCAGAGGGAGGGGGGACCCGGGGAGGAGACCCACTTCTGAGGACTCTGTCCTTGTGGAGGAACGGCCATGTGGAGCGACACGTCCTGGGGAGACTGAGAGGCCATTCCTGGGTAGCTCTGTCCATGAGGACCTCTTGGTAGAGCTCTGTGGGAAATGGCTGTCAGTGACTTGGCAGAATCGTTTCTTTCGGTTTTCATTATAGGCATTTCTGTATTGCACAGTCGCAGTGGTAAAATTCTTAGGATCTGTCCTTGGGGTATCCTTGAGGGTCTGACAGACCAGAGGAGGTTAAAAATCTGTGCCAAGAAAGCCTTCTACCCTCTTAGACTTGGCCCAGCAATCATCGTGCCTGCTCAACTGAAGCAAAGCCATACCAACGCTGAGGGATCGGACGCTTTGAAACAGGAGAGAGGGAAGGATCTGCTCCATGTAGCAGAGAGCTTCAGGAAGGCAGTGCTGTGCCCACCACCTGACCTACTTGAGAAAGCTGGTCCAGGGATCCAGGAGCTACATTTCAGAAACAGTTCCTATGAGATATAGAAGACTTCCTGCTGCCCGGCTCCCGTCTTTGGAGGAAATGCATCCCATCCCCCAGACACATATACACTCTAGGTCTGATGGGGTTACCTGTCAATCACAAGGATCCTGGGCAAACACTCTTGAAAACCCGCTTTGAACTCTAGCTCTCTGCCTTTGGACTTCCCAGTCCTGAGAATCTATATACGCCCTTTTAACTCGAGCCTATTTGAATTGGTCTTTGGTCACTCACAGCTTAAAAAAAGGTCCCAACTGGTATACATGAGTAATAGGTGAAATATACTTCTCCTAGGCATGGCCAACCCACAGCCCACAGGTCACATGTGCCATAGCAAGGCTATGAATGTGCACCAACACAAAATCATAACCTTACATAAAACATTATGAGATGTTTGTTGCTTTTTTTGTGACTCAATTGTTAGGTTCTCGGGTGTGAATTTTGTAGACAGCACTGTGTTGCAATGTCAAAAGTTTGTTCGTGCTTTCAAGTTTAAGCCAAAGAACTAACCAGAATAACAATGCACTTTCCCAGGAGCAGAGGCCCAGAGACGTCTGGGAAAGAAGCAGAGAGACTTGGACAAGAAGGCTGGAAGCAACAGACAGAAGAAGCCCCACTCTGCTCCTACAGTTGGAAGGCTCCACATTTCACATGGAGGTGCACATGCGCGCATGCGTGTACACACACACACACACACACACACACACACACGAGCACACTTGTAATATAAAGACTGCATGGATCCTTGTGCCCCTTGGAATCCAACACTCAACCTCAGCACACAAGGTCCCCATCTCTAAGCATGCACTCTCGTGACGGACACTTTTAGAGTCAGTAGAAGACTGAGTCTGCGTGTCTTGCAAACCTTGAACTAAGCTGCCTCCCACATCAGCAATGGACGGACTGAACGGAGGAAGCAGCTGAGAGAAAAGCACAAACATGTGATAGCAACACCCCATGACAGCGGCAAGCACACATTTTGTTCCATGGGTACCGGCACAATAGCACAGTGTTCGCTACGCTTGCAAATCACAGGTGTGGAGCGTCTTCCACGACACATAATTTATGATTCACCTACATTTGCACATATGCATCTCAAGATGCAAATGCATGAGGCGTGAGACCGACTCTTTACACGGGCAACCACCCAGACACGGAGCAGCGCCGCAATGGCGAATGAGTCATCACTCTAAACTTGTCTACTAAGAAACCACTAAAGCTTCAAAACTCCACTCTAAAGTTATCCTCACTTAAACATTTTTATTAAACTTCATGTGTGTCCGATGGAACCCACCAGTCTGACATCTTGGTAGGGAAATGCTGTGGTTTGAAATGCAGGGTGTCCTCCATGGCTCACTTGTGCGACACCTGGTCCTCAGCTAACGGTGTTGTCTTGGAAGGCTGTGGAAACTGCGGGTCACTGCGGGCAGGGACAGATGTTCTGGAGCTCAGCCGCATCTCCTGTCTGCTCTTGTCTTCCTGACTGTGAATGCCTAGTGACCAGTCACAGTGCCACATCCCTGCCATGGCGCCTCCCCAGCTATGATGGATTATAACCCACCTGTCACCGTGAGCCAAAATAAACCTATCTGTATCACTGTTGCCGGGTACTTTGTCACAGAAGCAAGGAAAACAGCTAACCCAGTCACTCTGAAGATTTTTAAAAGGCATCTTTATCCCGTTTATTTATATGTCTGTTTGTTTATTTTAGGTCTGTGTGTGTGCATTCACACCACAGCACACATGTGGAGGTCAAAGGACAACTTTCAGGAGTCAATTCTCTCCTTCCACCCCGTGGCTTCTGGGAATCGAACTCAGGCCCTCGAGCTTGGTGGCAAATGCCTGTACTTGCTGAGCCATCTCAATGGTCCTAGGGACAATATGTTTAAGGTTTACGTGAGAAGGACTGGGGAGATGGTTCACTAGGTAAACGCATGAGGATCTTGACCTCCACCACCAAGTATCCAGGTGTAGCACGGCGGTGGGCACCTGGAATCCCAGCACTGGGGAGGAAGATACGGGACTTTCTGTGATTGGCTGATCAACCAGTCCAACCAAATTAGCAAGCTCCAGGTTCCACAAGAGACCCTGTCTCAATAATAATAAAAATGTGGAGCTACCTGAGAAAGACATCCCACAAGGCCCTCATACATGCGTGCACACACACATACAAGTAGACGCACACATACATTTTCACACGAGAAATGGTTGTAAATGCACATCTTTACTAGTTGACCCTGTAGCTATCAAATTAGAATAGGTGACGTTCCTGTGCTGATTCTCTTGTCTCTGTCTAATAAACCCCAAACCTTAGTGGCTCACAATGGGTTATCGTGCTCTGCGTTCACAGTTCTGCCCGTTGACTGTGAGAGATGGTTGCTTGGTGATGAAAAACTCTCACGCAATTAAACGGCAGCGGGACCTGAATGAAGCCTGCCGCCAAATGCAGCCTTGACAGTATGGTGCATCTAAGACGGTGGCATCTGCATGCTCTTCCCCCTGCCTCAGGTGGGATGCATGGAGCAAGTGGGATATGCTTAAACATATGGTTTTTGCCATGTGACTTTCTTATGGCTGTCTTGACTCTCAGTGAATGATAGATTCAAAGGAATCAAACGCCTAATATGATGATTGGTCAACCCACAGAGTACTCTGTTTGTCTGTTTTTGAGACAGGGTTTCTTTGTGTAGCCCTAGCTGTACTGGGATTCACTCTATAGACCAGGCTGGCCTCAAACTCAGAGATCCACCTGCGTCTGCCTCCCGAGTGCTGGGATTAAAGGGATATGCTACTGCCATCCAGTCCACGGTGAGTATCCTAAGACCCCAGGTAGAAGCCTTTTATAACCTATGCTCAGAAGTCATGTAGCATCATGGTCACCTCTTCTGTGGGTCCAAAGAAAGTCACAGATACAACCAGGCTTAAAGAAGTGAATCAGAGCAAGAAGTGCAAGTTCATTGCTGGGTGGGATGAGGAAGCTGTCTTTGAAGAACAACTACCCATAGTCTGGTCCTAAATGAATCACCTTCCTCTACTGTACAAATATACCTGCCCACTAAGACCCCCTAAGGCCTCAGCCATTAAACACCCTCAGACTCAGGCTCCAAAATCAAGACTTAAGCATCTAAGGTAAGCATATGACCAACCCTTCGGGGATGGTTCTTTTTGGTCCCAAAATTTGTGAGCCAAGAGACAAGTTATTTTACCATATTTAACTCCCAGCAGTGGGCAGTCACAATGTCAGAACAAGGGTGCTCATCTCCCAAAAGGAAGAGCAAGCTGCAACAGAGCTACAGGTATGCCACCAGTTCCCTCATTAGACCCATGTCTTCTCTCCAGAAGTGCTGGCTCCAACTCTTAATTTCTGTGCTGACTATATTTCTGTCAACCTGATACAGGCTGTAGTCATCTGGGAAGGCGGAATCTCCACGGAGGAATAGCCTCCATCAGACGGGCCCATAGACAAGCCAGTAAGAGCACTTTCTAGACTAATAGTTGACCTGGAAGGGCCCGGCCTACAGTGGGCAGGGCCACTCTTGGGCAGGTAGTCCTGGGTTGTATAAGAAAACAGGTTGAGCTATCCATGAGGACAAGCATGTCTCAATGGTCCTCTGCCTCACTTCACTTCAGGTTCCTGTCCTGGCTTTCCTCAGGGATGGACTGGACCCAAGGTGTCTATGTCACATAAGCCCTTTCCTCTCCAAGTTGCTTTGGGTCAAAGAGAAAATTAGGACAACTGCCCTTCCTTTTCATAAGACATATCCAAGAGACCTCTTTATTTGAACTGTACTTCAGTCCAACTTGTAGAATTATTTCTAAAACTCTGTGGGCTTCCTTTTCCTTCCACCTCAATTTTTAACTACATGTAAATGTGTGGAGGGGCCTGCTCAAGTCCTTAGAAGCCCCACTGGCCAATTGAGTTAAGAGAGTATCGGCAACGTCTTCCGACGTTCTGCTGTCTACCCATGAGGCCTCCAAGACATACCCTTGAGTGTTACTGAGGCATTACTGAAGGATTTACAGCCGCACCCTTGGCTTCCTCTCCAACTCAACCCACAATTTACTGGCAACACCCTGGTTTGTGCCTTTGCCCTGAAGCCCGTTCTTCTGCTAAGAGCCTTCAACTGGAACAGCGCTACTAACTTCTTACATTTCCTAAATTCTGCTCCAAAGCGGAACAGTGCCTTCTTTAGTTCACTGTTAACCTGCTCTTCTGCCCGACAAAGTCAGCTCGGAGAAGTTCCGGGGACAATTTTAATGCACTGCTTGGAAATTGCTTTAGACAAGACACTCTCCCCCGCCATGTCAGTGAAGGCAATGCCCTCACACCAGCCGGTGATGATCTGAGGCATCCTTTGCGAAGGCCTCCTCCCTGTGTCCCAGGACCCCAACCATGTTCCCCTCAATGTTCCTCAGTTTCTGCCTCCCGAGGGCCCCAAAGCAAAGGCCACAGGCATCTGTCTTCTCTCCTCATTCACCACTTCCAGCCTGGTGGTATGGACCTGCCCAAGAATGCCCCAGAGAACACTTCCGTTGTTCCCGTCCTGTGTGCTCCTTCCCCGGTGATTGAGTCTGAGCTGGCCTGTGACTCATGCTAGCAAATGGAATGTGCTGGAAATAAGTTGCCTACGTTTGGAAGCGTTCTTTCAGAATACTGCCAGCTCCTCTCTCTCCCTTCCTAAACACTCACTTCTGGGAGTCCTGAGCACCTTGCAAGATGTCCAGCTACCCCACTGCAGAAGCCAGATGCTCCATTACAGAGAGGCCCTCAGACGTTCCGGGGAGAGGAAGAAGGCCAGTGCTGCCTGACTTCAGTCCAGTCAGCCTCCTGTGATCCCAGACACCCTTTCCTAACCACAACTGCCTACAACTCCCAAGAAAGAGCAGTGACAGACGCCCTGATAAGCCAACGCATGGGGTTCCCAGCTCCACAAGACATAATAAAGTGGTGGCTGTTCTGGTTTGGTTCTAATTCCTTTTTTGTTTGTTTGTTTTTCTTTGTTATTTCTTCACTTTTAAAAGATTTTTAAAAGGTGTGTGTGTGTGTGTGTGTGTGTGTGTGTGTGTGTGTGTGTGTGTGTGTTCACGTGGGTATGTGCATGTGAGTGCAGGTACCCAAGGAGGCCAGAAAAGGGCATCAGACTCCCAGGAGCTGGAATTCTAGAGGCTTGTGAGCTGTCTGACTGGTGAGCTGGAAACCAAACTCAGATCTTCTACAGAGGCTCTCAACCACTGGCCATCTCTCCAGCCCCCCATTTTTAAGCTCAGCGTACAAAGTTACAGGCTCCCATAAGACATCTTATGCCCTCTGTTTTGGCGGGCCCTCCCCTCTCACTCTATGGAGGTTGTTTTAAGCCACCAAATTTGGGAGCAGTTTGCTACACAGTAATACATAATCAAAGCAGCTTCCAGTGAAGTTTTGTCTTAGTTTCAGTTTTTTAACTTCATTTCCACACCCACAGGAACCCAAACTATGAGTTCCCACCTGCAAAAGCATGGTTAACAGTTCTACTAACACGGAAGAAAATTGAAGTTAGAAAAGAATTATGTGCTGGTTTATAAAGTATAAATATATATAACACATATTATGTGTTATATACATAAAATATATATTATTACTTGTCCAAATATCACTGCCCATGATCAGAACTCTTATGTTCTTAGTAATAAACCCTGCCATATTTTTATCTTACATACTTTCATTCACCCAAAACTCATAACTCTCTATATTTTTTCAATTATTCCATTTTAATTTTATGACTTTTATTACATTTTTTCTTATTTTCCTTTTTTTTTATTTGTATTAAGACATGGTCTCACTATGTAGCTATGACTGGACAGGAACTCACTATGTAGACCAGGCTGGCCTTGAACTCAAAGAGATCTGCCTGTCTCTGCCTCTGAGAGCTGGGATTAAAGGTGTAAGCCACCACATGTGGCTTCTTTTTAGTTTTAATTTATTAATTAATATTTGGGTGCATGTATGCCATGGCGCACATGTGACAGCCAGAAAACTGTCCTCACTGACCCCCACTGTGGGTCCTTGGAATGCAACTGAAGTCAGGCCTGTGTGGCAAGTGCTTCTTTCTACACACGGAGACAACTCCCTGTTTATTCGTCTGAGACGGGGGTGTCGCTGTATGACCTACATTGCCCTTAAACCCAGAGTCATTCCATTCTCAGCCTCCTGAGTGCTGATTTACGAATGAGAGCCACCATGCCTGGTTCACGTCATGTTGAATCAGTATTCGCTTGTTAACTTGATTTATGGCATCTAAGTATAGAGACATAAGGACTTTGTCTCCCTGAAACCGATGACATGAGTGCCCAAAGGGCTTTGGCAGATGGAAGAGAAGCACTCAGGGAGACCAGAGGGAGCACTGCAGTGACCAGAGGAGACCAGGGAGGGGCCCTGATGAAGGGGCATGCTGACCTGCCCACCTATCTGCTTTCTCAGACGGCCACTACTCTACTGGCCACGTCTGAATGGCCTGGGCCATGGGAATGCAACACACCAGAGCTAAGTAAGCCCAAGGTCACCCCAAAGGCTGGTTTGCACCAGAAGACACCAGGTCTTCAGAGAGCCCCACTTCTGGAGCCAGGGCCCAGGGCAAGCTGGGAACCCTCAAACGGTGAAGTCCAGTGAGAACGCGTCTACTGCGCGCGGAGATCCAGGCTCCCTGCACCGTCCGTTTGTGCAGTCTGGGGTGTGTTACCTGTCCCCCACAGCTTCCAAGACTCATTTCTGAGAAACTGTAGTCTTCTCTTAGCAAAACAGAGGTGGGAAGAGCCTGTCTCTCCTTTGGTGAGGAGAGGAATGGGGAGTGAGGGAGCTGAATTGGAGAGATGGCAGCAACGCTCACCTCTCTAAGGCTAAAAACAAGCCAAGGTGTGTCCAAGGCCAGGAGCATTCCTGTGTCACAGACCTACAGGGCTATACAGATAGACAATCTGGGCCCCAAGATGGGTGCTTCCTTCCAGCCCGTGGGGCCACTGTAAATGGTGAACAGCTGGGACAGTGGCCAAGCCTCATGACAAGGATCAGGTTTGCAGCAAAGGGTGAGCCTGTTCTCTACGCCCACCTGGTGTAACATGTAGCTTTCCCCCACCAGCCTCCTGGGCCCCACCAAGCTGTCTGAACCCCCAAATAACACACAGGACACTATATTAATTATGAAGCTGTTGGCCGTTTGCTTGGTTTCTTACTGGCTAGCTCTGACTGAAGTGTTTAACCCATAATTGTTAGTCTAAGTATTTCTCTTGCCAGAGAAAAGGGTCCGGACCTCTTACTCCTCTGGCGGCCTACATTGTGTCTGCCTGT